TCAGTGCTTTATATATATATATATAATAATAATGTAGACCTAATTATATATATGTGTGTATATATATATATTGGTTACCCCCAACGCACACCTCTGGGCTCTCTCCCCCCCCCCCCCCCGCCCCAAGCCTTGGCTCTCGCCAACCTGCACCTAATACTTTCCGGAATTGGGGGGGGGGAGGGAGAGAGAGAGAGAGAGAGCGCATACCATTCCGACAGTCTATCTCTGGGATTTCCGTGTGTAGGTGGGAGGCGGGGAATTCTCAGCTCGGTTTGGAGACTCTTAAGCAACGGTGATGGGTTTCCGCACGTGTCAGACACCCGGCTGACCAAAAAATATATATGTATATATACTGTATATATATATATATATATATGGGCTGAATGCTTCTCTGTAACATGACAACTTGTTGTTTGAAATTGGGGAGATGCAAAAAAATAAAACTAAACCAAATATGTGACCGGAAATCAGCCAATTTTAAGGACGGGGTGAAATCAGGACTCCCGCATCCCTTTTTTTTTAAACTCACACCGAAAGTGTACAATGATCTCTTTTTTTGTTGTTTTTAATTATAACACGACGTAAAGGACCTTTTTTTTTTTCCTTTACTCGTTTTGCTCTCCTCTGCTCCGTTTTGAATCGCGGAGCTTCATTTTTTCTTAAGATTCCGTTCAGTTCGGTTTAGAATATCTGTGGGTGTACTCGAAAACGAGAGAGACAGAAAAACAACGGACATTACTTCGCTTTAGGCACATGATTCCGACGGCACGAGATACACAAAGTTCCCCAAATTGCAGCGTTCCACACTAAATCAACACAGCCGCACTTTCAAAGGAGAATTTAGACGCAAATTCTCTCTATCCATACCCCTTCTCCTCCCCCCGCCCCATCCCTCCACTCCAAAAAACCCAGCTTAAAACGGGGGGGTGGGGGGGGGGGTCGAACCTTTTTGGCTGTGAGGGCCGGATGTCCTATTTGAGTGGGGCTGCAAAAGCAATTTTTTGTGTTTCCCCCCATTTCCAGAAACAATAACATTTACAGGTTATGGAGGGAGCAGGTGGGGGTAGCGGAAATGGAGGGAGGGGGCCAGATGTTGGACCACTCTGGTCAAATAATCTGGAACTGGGACCACAGGGCACAATCCGAGCTTTGGTTAGGCTCAGTTTATCGGATTTGTTCGCCCAATTCGATGGGAAGCGCTGATCACTGTTTGGTAAAACAGGACAGAATTTTATTCCAAATTCACCCTCCCCAAGGGAATGACGTCAATCTGAGGGGTGGGGGAGCTGTGGGGGTCTTGGGTTACAATACGTCATCAAGAAAGGCAGCTTTTTAAACCACTCCGGGGTGGGGTGGCAGTTTTTGAGGGGGGGGGGGGGTGGGGGGGGGAGAAAAAAACTGGTCAAAGTTGCGAGTTGGCCCTATGTTAATGCAAACCATTTTTTAATCCTATTTTTGAGCTTAAGAGACGGTGGATTGGGTCAGGTTGGGGGGACGCAGGGGAAGTTAGTGGTCATGGTGACAGATTTGGGGGGGGCGGGGGGAGAATTAGAACAAAACAGAGAGGGAGGGGTGGGGGAGGGGAGGAGGTGAGCGATCGAACTCTTCCAATTTAGACGGCAGAACGTTCTGAAAAAACCCAGAATGGTTTGGGAGTTCAGCTCTGCTGCACAGGTTTAATTTTCACTGTGTTTTAAAGACAAATTCAATCCCCTTTTTTTGCGACGTCTCCGGGTGAGCAGAATTCAAATGAGATTTCTGCTTTTTTCTCTCTCTCTCTCCAGCAAATCACGAACGGCTCAATATTAATTTACATTCTCATCCGGAGAAAAAAACAACGCATCACAGGTGAGGGTTCAACCCCCCCACACCCCCCACCCAAACCCCCCCCCACTTCCCTCCTTCCCCAAAACAAAGTCTTTAAATGTTCCTTGAATTTGGTAACGGGGCTGGAAATGAGGCCTGGAGGACGTCTCAAGGCGCTTCACAGGGTTCCACTCTTAAGTGTAGTGACTGTGTGTGTGTGTGATCATCTCGTTTTCTTTTCATTGAACCTTTCGGATCAGGGATCGAGGTGTGAGGAGTGGTGGGTTGCGGAGGGGGTGGTGGGGCGGTGAGGGGGTGGGGGGTGGAAAGATAAGGGGAGAGAGAGATAGAGAAAAAAGAGTGCGGGCAGAAAGGGGGAATTCTTTGCCAAGTGACGTTCGGAATTATCCCCATAAATGCCATTGTCTATTGTGCTTTCTAGGCTTTGCCAACTCGATGGAGTGCCCATCTCCCCCCCCCCACCCCCCCACCCCACCCCCCACCTTGAAGTGCACGGTGTTGAGAATAGAGAATAAAGGAACTGTGAAGCGCTCAATATGTCATCCATTGACATCATTTCCCACCATCTCCAGGGCCCCGCCCTGATGCTACAGTGACCCCTGGCAGCAAACATTATTACATCCGGGGTGTGGGGGTGGGGTGGGGTGGGGGGAGAGATAAAAAAAAAGTCCGGGATTTTGGCCACTCGGATATCCGGAAAATTTAATTCCCAATAACAAGTGCTGTCCTTTGGGCTTTGCGATTCGAATGGTGGTGGTGGGTGGGGGGGGGTGTGGAGGGAGCGGGAGGGGGAGGAAAGGCCGTTCAAATCAACTACTCTCCCCCCCACCCCACCTTTTCCCCATCACCAACCAGAAATCGAGAGCCAACATTCTCTGGAATATTCAGTCAACAGTAGCGTTCGAAGTGCATTTGTGATGTTTCTTTGTCGGGGGGTGGGGTTGGGGTTGGGAGGGGAAATAGGGTGGGGGGTTGGGGGAATGGGGCAAGGCTTGATGAGAAGTGCGGATAAATCCCCCCACCCCCATCCCGAGGTTCTCTCTCTCTCTCTCTCTTCCTACTTTGGCAAAGCTACATTTCTTCCTACCCCCAAAACCCCACCCCCCCAACAAAAAAAATCGGCGTTCAAGACCATTGAACAAGGAGAGCGGGGGAAGGCGGGGGTGGGGGCAAAAATGAGAATGGCAGTCAATTGGTGATGTGGTGGGGGGGTGGGGTTGGGGGGTAAAAAAAAATCAGAATGGCAGCCGTTAGCCGACAAAATAAACATTCCACTTCACATTTGGTCTGAGCCCAAATCCAAACTCTATCCATATACACATGTGATAACACTCATGGGACACAACACTGTGAATTGACATGTGTGCGCCGTTACACACACACACATACACACGCACACACGCACACGCACGCACATGTATGTACACAGACACAGACCGGCGCACTCACAATTACCCACATCACAGAGTCAAACGGGAAGAGGGAGAGAAAGGGGTCCGGGGGGGGAGGGGAGAGAGGGGAGAGGGAGCGGAGAGAGAGAGAGAGAGGAGGAGGAGAGGGGGGGTGAGAGGGGGAGGGAGCAGAGAAGGGGTGGGGGTGGGGAGAGAGTGGGGGAGAGATGGGGGAAGAGAGGGGAGAAGAGAGGGGAGAGAGATGGGGGAAAAGAGAGGTGGAGGGAAGGGGGAAGGAGGGGGGAAGGAGGGGGGAGAGAGGAGGTGAAGTGAAGGAACCTACAAATATAAGAACCAACAAACTTACAAAAATATCACAAATTTGTAAATATTTAACCACTCGGTCGCCGTTGGGTTCGGCCCCTTTTTTCCCGACGTTTTCGAAACTCCTAAACAGTGTATTACTTTATCAGAACATCAAACAACAATGTGCAGCATTTGATGCATCAAAACCACAAGCATCGCTCCCCCAAAAAACACCCCCCAACACCACACCCCTCCCCCCACCAAACCCCTCCCCGCCCCCCCCGCCCGCCCCCCACCCCCACAGTGATGTCTCTACTCTTCCTTTGAAAGTTCCCTTCCTTCACATTTTTTTTTCCTCGATTAGAGCGACAACAATAACGACGACGACGACAGCAACGACAGCAAAACCAAACCAAAAAAAAAAAACTTTTTGTTCTTAATTCCCATTTGCAAAGTTCAAGCTTTGTCCTTGCAATTTCGTACCCCCCCCCCTCCCCTCCCCTCCCCCCGCTCCCCCCCTTCCCCCCCCCCCCCCCCCCGAGACTTTTCCTCAAAGCCTTCTCCCTCCTCGGGAATATCGTTCGTTCCCCAAACTCCCAGACGCCCGCTACATTAACCCTTTAAGGCAATTCCCTTTTGTCGAACTGTCAGGAAGCAGCCTGAGAAAGTTCGTTTCGGTTCCCCCCCTCAAACCCCAACCCCCCCCTACACACTCCCCCCCATCCCACTCCGTTCTCCCCCCTCCACCCCTCCCCCTCAACAAAACTAGCTCGCTTTAATACTCTCCTAACTAAAACCTCGCTCGCTAAACCTTTCCGAAGGAGGAACTCACTACACTCGACGACTCGACAGATACCAAACCATGAGATGACGTGTCGTGCTCTCGGACACGATTCTTTCAAAGGAAAAACAACAAAAAAAAAACACCAAACGAAATACTGCGACTGTGCTTTTTTTTTAGTAAAAACGAACCGAAAAAAATAATAATAATAATAATAATTAGAGGTAGTTTTTTTTTCGGAATAAGTCGACCACCGCCTGCCTGAGTAAAACGCAGGGGGAGGAGGAGGAAGGGGAGGGTGGGGGGGGGGTGGTGGTGGGGGGGGGGGCATATATTTTTTTCTTTCAAAAAAAAACAAGACACAATACCAATTTCGGTAATGATTTCTCAATTACTCTCAACTCGCGCGCGCTCACACACGCGTGTGCACGGACACGCGCACATACTACAGACACCCACGGGCGCCCACGCAGGCACACACGCCCCGTGCACAAACCTTTGCGCATCGGTTGCAGCCTTAAGTACTTCATTTTTCGCTGCCTTACTCTTTCTCCGCCTTTCCCCCTCTCTCTCTTCCCCCCGTCGCACTCCCCCTCCCCCTCCCCCCCCACCCACACATGCGCACTCACACACCCTCAAATACCCACCCTCTCCCACCCCAACGCTATTTAACACTTAAATTCCCCCCATCACCCTCAATAAGGGTTTGGCTCATTTACGTTGGGGCGGGGGATGGGAGTGGGGGGGGTTGGATGGGAGAAAGTAGGGTTTCATTAAAAAAAAACTAAGGTTAAAGGAGGTTGTGCGAGACACAGGGAAATCGAAGGAGGGAGGAACGGAGAGAGAGAGAGGGAGAGGGAGAGAGAGAAAAAAAAATTCACACACAATGATGGAATCTTCCTTTCTTTCAACATTCACAGCGATAAATTCTCCGTTCCTTAAGACTTAGACGTAGCACAGATACAGGTACGTTTTCTCTATTCTCCAGTCTGGTGGGATGTCTTCGGGCTTGTGACCCTTCATGTGTTTCTGCATGGCAGACAGGCTGGGGCAGAACTCCAGGCAAATGGTACACTGGTAAGGTGAGGCCCCATTGTGGGTTCGTAAATGCTTGATCATGGCGGAGTAGTCTCTGGATCGCTGGTGGCACAGCTTGCACTCGAAAGGCTTCTCACCTGTGTGTGGGTGGGGGGGGGGGGGGGGGGAGAAGGGAAGGAAGGGGGGAATCCAGAAATAAAAGCAAAAGGCACAAAGATTAATTGGGAACTGGCAATGCAACGCGTCAGGCAACCCTCAACCCAGCCCCCAACGCCCGGGAGATAGCACAGCAGCGATAACAATCCGTGCATTTGACCCAGCGCCTTATCACGTCTGTGAGACGTCCCAAAGAACTTCACAGGATACACTGTAAAGTGAATTGATTGTATACTTGTGGGCGAAACGTGGCAGCCAATTGCGCACAGCAACGACCCACAAACAGGGAGGGAAGGGAGGGAGGGAGGGAGGGAGGGAAGGTGGTACCTGTGTGGACCCGGTAATGAGTCTCCAGCTGGTGTTTGAGGCTAAACTTCTTCCCGCACCCGTTACACTCATACGGTTTCTCTCCGGTGTGGATGCGTTTGTGGCTCTTCAGGGTGCACTCGTCCCGGAAACAGCTCCCACAGAACTCGCACTCGTAGGGATGGTCACCTGGCGAGGACAGCGGGAACAATAAGGAGATCAACTGGGAATTGGCAACACAAATCAATCCCAACCCCAACACTAAATCCAAAGGATGGCACCTCTAACAATGTAGCTCCCCCCACCAAGCCCACCCAATCATCCCCCAACCTCCTCATCACACCCCCCAACCACGCAGCACTGTATTGCAGCATCAGCTTAGACAATTTGACTCCAAGTCCTGAGGTGGAGGTGGGTGGGTGGGCGTGTAATGGGTGGGTGGGCGTGTTTGGATGGGTGGGTGGGCGTGAGTGGTGGGTGGGTGTGCGTGGTGGATATGTGTGGTGGGTGTGTGTGTGGTGGGTGGCGTGTGTGGTGAGTGGGTGGTCGTGTGTGGTGCGTGGGTGGTGGGTGGGTGTGGGTGGTGGGCGGGTGGACATGTGGGGGGTGATTCTCACCTGTGTGCGAGCGCAGGTGGCGTTTGAGTGCCGTGTGGCTCGGGAACGTTCGGTTACACTCGCTGCAGATGTAGCTGCGGACGCCTGCGTGCACGTCCATGTGTTGCTGTAACGCGATCTGGGTCTGGAAACGCTTCCCGCACAACAGACAGAACACTGCCATGTCCGTACCTGCGTCTCACACACACAGAGAGAGAGAGAGAGAGAGAGAGAGGCATAAGAACCGAAGAAGTTGCTGGCGATAGAAGACCGAGATCCACACAGTTTGTCTTCCACCGTCCTGGCAATCGCCTGACATGTCGGGTCCCCAAACTATACACTCTCCCCCCGCCCCCTCCCCCCACACCCACACAACCCCCACTCCCCCCACACCCCCTTCCCCCCCGATATTGTTTTCGAGCAGAAATCTATCTCATTTGTTCTTGAAACAAGTGACATTTTCTGCTTCTCCCAATGCAGACAGAGAGGGAGACGGATGGACACACACACGCACGCGCACACAGATACACACACACACACGGAGACACACACACACAGAGAAAGACAAAGAGCGCGCGAGAGAGAGTGTTATTTTGACCATATAACATTAAGACCCCCAAGCCCAGCACGGGAGAGAAGCGGCCAAAATAAATCTGTTCCCTCCCTCCCTCGCTCGGCCGTTTGCCTGGACGTTGCGTTTCGCCCACAAAATAGTCTCTCTCTGAGACACCGCCCGGGGCTCCGCTCGCGCTGAGTGAGCTCGTCGGCGACCCGCTGCGATAATTGGGTAACCAAAGTTCTTATTAAATTAGCGGAGCCTGAGACTGGTTTACAAGCGCGTCCGTGCTATTCCAGGGCGCGTTATAGTGCAGAAATAGGAAAAAAAATTTCGGGGGGGGGGGGTGGGATGCGGAAATAGAGGCAAATGAGTCCGACTTATTTATTAGTCCAACATTAACCGGTTATTATTTACTATTTAACTAACAGTGACGAGGAATCCGGTTGATAGTCGATCGGCGGATCGCTTTCCGGGGGGTAATAATCTTCAACCCCCACCCCCCCGACGCCCGACCCCCCCAAAATTTGGTCATTCAATCCAACTGGCTGCCAGGTTTCGCCCACGGAACAAACACTTTACCGGCTTCGAGACGTCTCGACGACGTGATCAGGCGCTGTATCAAACGCGAGGATCATTATCATCAATTGCCTCCCAACTGTGGAGAGGTATTGCTCAGGTCGACCCAGAGATGGGGGAAGGCTGTTCCTCTCTCTCTCTCTCTCTCTCTCTCTCTCTCTCCCCCCACCGCCCCCCCCCCCCGCCCCACACTCGCTGTTAAGACCAATGTGGATTAACTCAGCTCTTTCACAAGAGATTCCATTATGGTCAACGGAGGGGCTGTCGGGGGCAAAGGTCATGTCTTCCCTTCTCAATGACAATGACTGGGAATTTCACTCTATTTTTTTCCCAGATTTTTCTACACGGTTGGACCACTCACTTCACGGGGGAGCAAGTGGGGGGGGGGGGGGGGAGGGGGGGCGCCAGGGTGAAATGGAATAATGGGGTTCAAATTTCACCCACAAAATACACACAATACACCCATTTTACGGTTAAAAAACGATAATATTCCTTGCGTTTGATGCAGAGACTTGATCACGTGTTCGAGCCGTCTCAACCCGCTTCACAGAATATACTTTTAAGTGTCGTGACTGTGTATTTTGTGGGCGACAAAATTATTGTTGTTATCGATGTTTTCACAGTATATTGTGTGAAGCGCTTTGTGATGTCTCAACAATGTGCTAAGGTGCTATATCAAATGCAAATATTATTATTATTATTATTATTATTATGATGCTATGGGACTCTAATCTTTAAGTAAAATCTTTGAATTTAAGACTTTCCAAAATTCAGTGTACATGGGAAAGGGGGGGGGGGGGGGAGGGGAAAGCGAGGTCGGTACGGTGTCTTTCACATCGTGAAGTGTAGTGACTGTTTCCCTGGAGCTAAACAACCGTAGGGAGGTACCTGCACAGAGCAGCGAAAAAATCTCTCCCCCACCCCACTCTCCGTCTCTCCCCCACCCCCGCCGTCTCTCCGTTCCCCCTCACCCCCCGAAAAAAGTGTCTCCCTGGAGGTCCCAAGCTCTGAGGAGAAGCAAAGCGACTTAAACCTTTTTAATAATCCATTCAAGATATAATTGTTTCCTTCAATCCGCGGCTGTTTGTGGGACGCTGCTGTGCGTTTCGCCCACAAAATATACAGTCACTACACCTTACAGTATATTCTGTGACGTCTCGAAGATGTGCAATAAGGCGCCATATCAAATGCGAGGATTATGATTAATATTAATGTTTCAGTGCATTTCTTTTGATCGTGGAAGGGCTGGAGAGATCGATTTAGTTCCCCGGGGGGTGGGGGGAAAGGAAGGGGAGGGGGTGGGGAGGGTGGGGAGAGAAAGGTACGTCTTGAGCTCTGGGTGGGGTGGGGGGGGCGGGGAGGGCGAGGGGGGAACAAACATAATGTGGTGGTGAGGACGAGAGAAAGAGAGAGAGAGAGAGACACAACTGAAGAAGATTGCGGAGAACCAATTTGCGAAGGACTTAATGAAGCATAGAACGAGCCCTCATTAAAGGGAATGGCCGACTGGGTTGGAGGTAGTCGGGCTTTATAATACAGCTCTAAGCTTTACAGGAGGAGGGAACCGGGGGGCGAAGCTTTGTGCTCTGCTCCCCATTGAATGCAGGGCCACTGAGGTAGGAGCTCAAGCCCCCTGAACTGGTCACACAAAGTAATCCCACGAGGTATGTGGGCCCCTCTTGTCCACAGCGTTCAAGATGACAGCAGGACCAGGTCAGAGGCCACTGAAGGCTAGCGGTACTTCAGCCAGCTGTGGGGAGGGGAGGGAGGGGAGGTGGTGGGGGAGGGGGGAAAGGAGGGGGGTTGGGGTGGTAGGGGCGCTGTTTATTCCCCGCAAAAGGTCTGTGAGAAACGGCGAGGGACCAAGCTCCGAGAGAACCACAATGAGCCCCGGCACCCGCTGAGAGAGAGAGAGAGAGAGAGAGAGACAGAGAGGAGGGGGACAAAGAGGCTGAGGTCTGAGCCGAGGCGAGCGAAGTATGGAGGGATGGATGGAGGGAGGGAGGGAGGGAGGGAGGCTATGACAAATTCAGCCGTGCTTTTCAAAAAAAGGAATTGGCCTCGTTCACGCTTTCAAGACGGTGTAGAGAGAGAGAGAGAGTGAGGGAAGTCACTGCTGATCGGGGGGTGGGTGGGGGGGTGGTCAGTGAGTGAGACAGAGAGAGAGAAAGCGAGACAGAGAGAGAGAGAGAGAGAGATCAAGAAAGAGAGAGAAAAAGAGTGAGAGAAAGAAAGTGAGAGAGGAGAGAGAGAGAGAGAGAAGTGGGTTGAGGGAGATGGAGGGAATTTGGAGACCTGTTCAGTATCCACTGGACAAAGGTTGAAGAGAGAGAGAGAGAGAGGAGGGGGAGTGAGAGAGAAAAAAAAGAAAGCAAGAGAGCGAGAGAGTAGTTGGGGTGGGGTGGTGGTGGGGGGGAGGTGAGAGATAGAGCCGAGTGTGGCCCTGTACAGTACCCCCCTGCACAAAGGTTGAAGGTTGAGGCCATTAATTCTGCCGAGGAACAGATTAAAATATAAAGGATCCGGCCACATAGATAGAGACCAAAATAGAGGGCAGAGGAGGTCATGCTTGTAGAATGAGAGGCATTGGAGCAACAGCGGGGTGTTTAAGAACCATTCCCTTTACATTGTGTTCCCTCACAAGCCTCCCCCTCCCTTTCAGACCCAAGGCTAAGGGTCTAAAGGGTGGGGGGGTGGGGGTTATCCCTTGAGACTACAGTACAAACAAGAGTAAGGGTTGCTAGGCTCCATTACATTTCTTTCGAGGTTTTTTTTCCTCCGCGCCACCCCTGCCCCCCACTCCAAAATACTTCTCGCCTCTTGCGAAGATTACTCTCTCCCCCCCCCCCCCCCCCCCCACCTCCACCCCGTGCGTGACGTGGAACCCTGACTGGATCGTCACTCACATCACTTCCAGCGCCGACCGCCTGCGAAGTGATGTCAGTGGCGTCGCTGGTGGGCATATTTTTCAAGCACACGCACAGACACGCACGGAACACATGTGTTCCGACGTTGGGAGGGAGGGAGGGAGGGGGTGAGTGAGTGAGCGAGCGAGCGGTGGTTTTATGGATCGATCACTAGGTTTGAAGAGGATGTCAGTCCTTTAATAAAAATGCAAGGATTATTATTATTATTATTATTAGCTATTAGTTTCTGAACAAGAGGCAGTCACATACACTCACACACACACACTCTCATACACACGCAGTCACACTCACACACTCACAGTCACACTCACACACACTCACACAGTCACACTCACACACTCACTCAGTCAAACACACATACTCACACACTCTCATACTCTCACACTCACACACACAGTCACACACACACTCACACTCTCACACTCACACACACTCATACACACACAGTCACACACACACTCACACACACACTCTCACACACACTCACACAGTCAAACACACACACTCACACACACTCTCATACTCTCACACACACACACTTAGTCACACACACACACCCTCACACACTCTCACAATCACACACACTCACACACAGTCACACTCAGTCACACACTCTCTCTCACACATTCACATGCGTACTCACACTCTCACACACACACTCACTCGACCCCGCACAGAGCGAGTCATTCAACTCCCTGACAGCCAAGTGCGGCGATGCTAAGCAACAGTCACCGTTCCATAAGGAAGATCAAACTTATCAGAACGAAAAGTAAAGGAATCTGAATCCAAACCCTTTTGCAACTGATTTGTGAAATTGATTTAAGATTCACTTTACGTACGACATTAATTCCCATCAGGAGGCCCGGGGAGGAGAGCCCGCGATACAACAACCGACAGGGAGTAAACCAGAGAGTGAGAGGGAACCCTCCGCAAGGAGAAAGAGGGGGGCAGCAAGAGAAGAGAGAGAGAGAAAAGGAGAGAGAAAATAAATAGAGCAAAGAGGTAGAGAGAGAGAGAGAGGGTGGGTGGGAGATAATATAGAGGGAGAGAAAGGAGAGAGAGAGAGAGAGAGATAGGTGGGGGCTGAAGAGAGAGAGAAAAGATGGAGAGCGAGAGAAAGAGAAGAGATA